CAGATGCAGGACTGTTGAAGTTTATGAGATTCTCACAGATCCAGCTCTTAAGCCTGTTCAAGTCCCTCTGGATGGCATCTCTTCCCTCCAGCTCACATGATGAAATGCAGCAGTCTAAACCTACCCACTGTCACAATTTATTCTTGTACTTTGGAAATGTCATTGTGAGATGAAAGCCACAGAAGCACAGAAGGGATCTCACTGAGTTGGAAGGGACCTACAAGGAGTGTCCCTGCACAGGACACTCTTAGAGCAACACCTTGTGCCTGAGAGCATTGTCCAAATGATCCTTGAGCTCTGTCAGGCTTGGTGCTGTGAGCACTTCCCTGGGGAGCCTGCTCCCAATCACCCTCTGGGTGAAAAACCTTTTCCTGATACCCAGCCTAAACCTTCACTGACTCAGCTTCATGTCATTTCCTTGAATCCTGTCACTTGTCATGAGAGTGAAGAGGACAGAGAAATGTATTCCAAGACATTTCTTTTTACACTCTTATTGTCTGTGTTGCAAAAGGGAACAATTTTTCATTAGCATAGTTCAAATTTCACCCTCAAATAGATAGGTAGGTATCTGTCTACTGCCTCACTCCTTGAGTATATATATCACAGAAATTTCATAATAAGTGAAACACTGCTAGTTGTGCTCAGAGAAACTGATAATAAAATTAAAGGAGTGCTTGGATTGTCAGAAATGCAGGATAGTCAGTGTCCTGCAACAGGCAAGGGAATTTGCTCTGTAGCCTTGAAAAGCTTGTCATTTTACTTCAGTGCTTTGCAATAGGAGTTATGAGAACTTGAACTTTCTACCCAGATTTGTACTCTCAATTTGGATGGTCCAAAAAATGAATTTCACATTAGTTTTGCCTCTTTTATGATATGTCTGCCTTTCCAAATCACACTAAACAGCAGCCACTGTTTCTGTTCTACTGCTATTAATGCAATGTCATAAGGAAGATTACCAAAGAGCATAGAGAATTTCAGAACGATAATCCAGTGATTTTGCAAATCTCAAAGATTTTGACTTTCAAAACATATATTACTGCTTTTGATCCTTAGATCTTCCACTTATAACTTAATGCTTGATCCTGTCAGGATCAACAGATCTACTCAAATCCCTGAATAATCCCCTTTCTGAACTCCCTGTATATTCTAAATTTGAAAGATATGTTTCAGATAATCAAGATTTTTAATAATGATATTGTCTCAACAGAGATTTTTTCTTTTTCTTTTTTAATTTGTGAGGTTTTATAAAGCCTAGGGATGTACTTCAACATTGAAGACTCAGTCTGAATTCAGCACAGATGATGCAATATAACTAGAGTGCAGCAGTGTGTCTTGTGCAACTCCTATTCCAGGGAACTTTGGACAGTACTGTATAAGTCACCATGGAAGATTGTTTATCTCCAGTGTTTTAAATTATAGCAACTTTGTAGAGGTTTCTTAGGTTTCTATGTTCCCTTTTAGAAGGCACTGTGGAATTCAGGCTGTAATTCTGATTGATCAGTGGATCAGAGGTACTCAGTTTGAAAAGTTTCCAGAGCTGTAAGTGACAAAACCCAAAGGTAGAGAACATCTACTCTCTGTTTACCTGCAATAAAGTCCTTGCACTCTAATGTCCTCTGACATTAGAGGTGGTTAAAGCTAATTACATGCAATCTTATCTGATTACGCACCTTTGAGCATGTCTAGAACAAAATAAGAAATAGATTTCTTTAATGATCAAATAGATGATGGACAAGGGTTTTTTCTGTAGAAATCTATGGGCCAGATTTTCTTACAGCTGTGATTAAAATTTCAGCTTTATACAAAGATTAAGTCTATTGTCTGCTATTGCTGGAGAATGGAGGCACGTGGACTGTGGGAATTTGGAAGACAATATGACAGTCATTGACAAAAACAAATAAAAAAATAAAGGAAAATAAAAGAGAAAAAAAAGTCTGTTTAGAGAAAAAAAAAGCTTTTGCCTACTTGTGGGGTGTAAAATCCCAAAAGTTTATGGCCTTTAGAAAAATGAAAGTAACTTCTGGATAAACAAAATTCTTCTACAATATAAAGTAAATATTTCTCTATGAAATAGTAGAAGGTCATAGAACAAAATCATGGCTTTCAGACAGTATTAGCTCAGCATACACTGATAAAAAATGCCAAGTAAAATCAAAAATTGCTCCTGGACTGATATCTCAGGGCAGCTAGGAAAGGACAAGGCATTACAGACAGAACTAGCACTGTGTTTTAGGGATAAGAGTCCAGTCACAGGTCATATCTCTGTGATCTGTGAAACCACACTGGTTTCATTAGTTGGATTTCCAGCCAGCCCAACTAGAAGCTCTGCCTTCATCTGTGCCCTTCTGGCTCTTAAATTAAATCTTATTTGATGAATATGGGGCTACAACAAATCTTAATATATGCCAAATAGCTTGCCCACTGAGACTACAATGAACACAGTGAAAGTGTTGCAACATTGTTGATGTCCCACTGTACGGTCAGATATGAGGAGAACTTGTAAATTGGTGTGCTGTGTTTGGTTCTTAATTAATTTTTTTCAGTCTTTGAGAGGAGACACATAGAAAAACTATTTACAAATTTTTTCTAGCATAAAACTTTTACTTAACTTCCTGACACAGAGTGACAGAAGTCAGACCTAAAGTTCATGCAGCCATTGGTCTTGCACAGTGGACCTATACTCTTGCTCCCCTTTGAACTTGTATTAAATAGGGGAATTCTAGGAGTAGCTTTGAACAGGAATAAATGTTATGCTTTGGAATATCACTAGCACTATCACAAAGTCAGAAAATACATCATATACTTTGCCTGGGTGTGGAGTCTCTAGTGTTCCTTCCTTCGGCAGTGAAAAGGTAACAACTAATGACCAAATTATTGATCAAAGGAAAGGAAAGAATTAGATAGAATACAACATTTCCAAGAAAACATTAACAACAAAACTATGTAAGCTTCAATTCAAGTGTTGTATAATTCACTATAATTCACTACTTGAAATAATAGTGCAGTCCTAGAACTAGTTATAGTTCTTGAACTGCATATCATTATTTAGGTGAAATGTGAAAGAGTTTGTGACTCAGGATGGGGGAAAAATTCCTAGAATGAAAATAGCAGAAAGCTACAATAAACAGGAAGATGGCATATGAGGAAAATAAAATACTTTCTGCAGTAGGCTAAAAGCATTCCTAAGATGAAAATAAATAGGAAAATTAAGATGATTCATGAAATCCAAAGGTGAAACGGAAAGAAAAAAAGGAGGCTAAAGTATGTCTTAAATTAATAAATGGTGTAGAAAACTAAGCAGTGATTACCAGCATGTTTGGAAAAGTTGAAAGTTTTCATCCGGTATCTTTAAAGCCTGCCTGCTGAGATTTCAGGTTGTCCTTTATAGATATGGAAAGAAGATATATGTTATCATTTTCATAAGAACCTATAATAATTAACTGCTAGATTAAAGGGTTGCTTTAAAAATTAGGAATACAATGGTACCTAAATGAGAACACATTTAAGGCATTCTCATCTGTGTGAAAGACCTTTGTTTTACCTGAAACCAGAGAAATCCACTGATCTCTGTTTTGTATCTCCAGTTAGGCAAATTTGAGCAATTTGCAGGGGAAATAAATAGAGAAACTGTTTGTGGTTAATGGAGAAGTTAATGTCAGGAAGATTTCTAGAGCAGACTTTAGTGTCTAAATCTAGAAAAAAAGAATTCTACACAAAAACAGGACTGAAAAGTAATATTCCAAATAAAAATGAACAAACCCTATTTAGATATTCTGTTTTCTACATGAGACATGATTCTCTAAGGCAGGCAAACACTGTAACCCAAAATATTAAAGTCTGAAAATGCTGCTCAAATTCTTCCAAACATACTGTTCTGTGTTCAGATGCCTTCAGCCAGACAGCTAAGGCAGAAAAGCTGACAGATGCATCCAAAAGTAGATAAGAGAGCAGGTAACTTTCATTATCATGGTGTTTTTAGCAATGGGAATGGGTGCTCTTCATTCACAGGACAAGGTGAATGGCTGAAACTTGTTTCAGTCCACACATCTCTACATCTCACTGAGAGATGACTATTGTGACAGTAGAATTCTCTGTTATCTGGAAATAACTTGAACTTAGCTAAATTTCAGAAACTGTTGCTAAAACCATATGTCCAAACACAAAAATCATCAATAGCAATTATGGCATGCACTTTAGTTCAGAAAGCATGTGAAACAGAATTAATGCATGGTAAAACTAAGCTCATGATTTGTCCTACCTCATCCATCAGTTAAAGGTCCTTCATTGACAGATGGTTTAGGTGATGCCTGACACGTGAAAAAACTGTGAGCAGTGAATTCTCCAAGCATTTATGTAGGCTCAGTGAAAGCAATAAGATAATTTTATTCAATTTCTATGGCATGGATCCACTGTGCATTAATCAGAAGCCCAGCATATAAAAACAGGTTCTGTGAGATAAGTAAACAGAAAAGGCAGAACTTGAAAAAAAGGAGTTTCTTGTATCTTATAAAATTACTTGCCTGTGCAAGACATATGTTTTTCTTTGAATAATCTAAAACAGAAAAATGAGTTCCACCCAGGGTAGAAAAGTCTAATCTATTGAACAATTTGTTTTGGACTTAGATATTCCAAAGGGCACTGTGTTAAAAACATTGTCCTTAAATTTGTGGTGCTGTCTAGAAGAAACAAAACAACAGTTTTTGCTTAGTTCTACCCAGAGAGAATTTTTTTCTGGATTGATCATTTTTTTCCACCTTCACTTTTCATGAAAAACACATGAAGGATTTTCTATCCTTATTATCATCTTTCCTTATCTCTGTGATCTACAAAACAAGCATTAATTACAGTACTTCTAATGTACTCTGAACATACTAAAATGTAACCCAAGGTGGCTTTTTTCTTAATGAATGTTTTCTTACTCTGGTAATTATTCTCATCAACCTTCTAGTAAGAAGAGGTTGGTTTGTTTTCAGAGCTAACAAGTGTGTCTTTGCCTTCAGACCTGCCTTCAAGTACGTGAGGAAGTTCCCCTAGGCTCTGTGTACCTGCCTGCTGAGAAAAAGCAATTTTACAGGTAAGATGAAATGGCCTTAAACTCTGTTCCCTAGTAAGGAATTTGTGGTGTCTGCCTAGGCAGATTGTTTCAGCAGCATGTTCTTCCTCGAGGTCTCAGCTCACTGGAAAGGCTTCCGGTCATAAAAATAAGTAGTGTCATTTTCCCTTTGCGATGAATTCTTTCATCCAATCATATTCCTGTATGCAAATATACCATGGCTGGTTCAGATAAAAAAGCACAAATAAAGCCAAGAGCTCAGTCAGGGCAAAAATCACTCTATTCCTTTTATACCTTTTCTCACCTGTGTTTCAGGAACGTCTTCAAACTTCTCAGCTGAAAACATGAAGAAGCAAGGCTCAGATGGCAATCCTGCTCCAGTTATGCCAGCCCTGCCAGAACCATTAAAAGATCTGAAAATTAAGTATACCAAGGTTAGTAACACTTGCTTTTCCTAATCTTCCTTATGCATTCACTTCAGACAGGAGGATGTGCTGATTTTAACTTTATATGAACTATGGAAGCCACTGTAAATCAGTGCTTAAATTGTTTATTCAGGCTGAATTCTGATTTTACACATGTTAACAAGTGATGTTCAATGATCCTTTTAACCTAATTTAAAGCACCTATATGTGCATGCATGATAGAATAGTTCCATATTTCCCTTGGTGTGGGTGTTGTTTCTCTCCTGAAACAAATTTTCATCAGTTATAAGTTTGCCAAAAAGTATAAATGGAGCAAAGAAGGAAATTTTTCTACTTTTTATTTTAATTAAAATGAATTAAAATAGCAAATTAAAATATTAGCATATTGCATTTTGTTATAATCAGATTCAAATAATTATACCAGATAAACTTACACGGAAAGGGATGTGTGAAAATGAAACTAAAATAAAATAAAATTAATTCTGGTCACGTATTTACATTAGAGAAAATGAATCTGATTCTGAATTTGTTTTTCAGGTAAACAAGCAGCTTATAACTAGATATAGTCTACCAATCTAACTATGCAACATTACCATAAACTTCTTGAAACAGAAAATTCTTTCCATATAGAGTAAGAAATATACAAATAAAGAAGGTCTGAATCCAGACTTATGTTTTCAGCTTTAAAAGACTCTTTTGCTGGTTGTATATCATAATATTGTATGTCAACACACAGTATCTGCTAGAACTTTGAAAAAGTTGCCAGAAACTTTGCCCTCTGAAACATGCAGGTTTGAATTGATCAGAAAGGACCTCTTAATTCTGGAGGTTTTTGGTTACTGTTCTTTTATTTTTCTTGATACCATTGCAAGGGAAATAATTTTATTTTCTAGAACCACTGTTTAGTTTCATTTCCTAAAGCAGGTATTCATCTAAATTAGGTCTTTTAAATTTCATGCTATACTTTTTTACTAATGGAAAAAACTTAACTGTGTTCCACTACATGTCTTTCTTGAATAAATCACACAGGATCTTACTTTGTAAATATTTAACAGAAAGATATGTAGTTCTGCCATGCGATAGCCTGCTACTGCTCTTCCTGTCTCAAAAAAAAAAAAAAAAAAAAAAATTTACTCTGATTTTTTTTAGTTTTCCAGTAGAAAACAACTAATATGAGAAAAACACCAATTGATGTAACTGAACATGCAAGACACAAATTCCTGTAAATATTTCTATTCTTCTAAAATATTTCATTATTAAAAATCAATTATATTAGTACAAAAAATTAACCACAAGACATTGCTGAAAAGTCTAGTTTGTAATGTGCAATCAAGGAGAGTGTCACGTAATAAATGTTTCTTTTGCCTTGACAATAGGTAGCATTTCCTTAAAAGCTGCATACAAATTCTAACTCTGTAGAAGTGCAGTGCATTTATTTACAAGATCTAGTGCATGTCTGTGGAGGCTTGATATTTGCAAAGCTTTCCTCCTCTTTCAAATATCATATAGGATTTTCTGAAAGCCCCAGCAGTGTGCTGAGGGACAAGAGAGTTGGGAAAATAGAAATGTCACCCCATATGCAACACTCATCCCCCAGTTTAACAAGGCCTTTGCACTCATGTGTTCTTATGCATCCCATTCCTCTTCTGTCCCATACAGAAGTTAGAACATGGGATGTAGACGACTAGCAACACTGGAAGGATCAAGATGAGGGAAGCACTACTTACTGCTGATGTATTAACCTTTCTGTCTAAATCACCTAGAACCAGTCATAACCTCCAATTTCTCTTTTTCCTACCATTGCATTATACCAACAGTCAACACAAAAGGATCTGAAGAGAGCTCTGCAGGAAATGTTCCAAGGACTCTCTTTATTTAACAGTCTCTATATTTTATTTTCTATGATTGGGATCATTTGATTTGGGATCATTTTCACAGGGGTCACTTAACAAAATGAGATTGATATAGCTACATTTCAGAATAAAATACCTATGCATAATACGCATATGGTATAACTTAACACTCTTCATGAAATTTGACTTTCAAGCATCAAATCAAATGTATTTTAAACACTGAAATTGGCCTGGATTTTGAACCATAAAGTAATCTTGTATTCGTTTCATGTATGAACCTCCTTTAAAGATATTTCAGTGAACCCAATGAGTATTGGTAGCTAGCTAAAAATGTGTTGGTAAATATTTTACCTAGTCAACACTGAGGAATTAGACAATGATTGTTTGACAAATGCTTTCTGTCATGATGCTTTCACATTCACTAAACCCTGTAGTACTCCTTTAATCAGAGAAACTCAGATTAGTTAATTATTAGGTTGTCAAATTACATCAGGGGGAAAAAAGGTCTGAACATTCTCTTGCGAAGTTACATGTGGAATATCAGGAAGTGTGGAAGGGTAAGACACTCTGAGTAAAGAAAAATTATGGTTGAACATTAAAATGCTGCAGCCACTAGCTTCAAGAACAAAGGCTAGGCATAAAAGCTCAAAAAATGTAGTTGGAATATCTGGGGAAAGGTAATAAGCTAGAAAGGTATTATTATAGAAACTTACTCTTTCTAAGATCAGCTCACTTTGTGGACACAGAGGGACTTAGTGGAAAATTAAGAAAATTACATAATATTTAACAGAAAGAATATGTTCTCTAATTATTAGTCTTTACAGCAGTAAAATGTAATTCCTAAATCAATAATAACATATTGCAAGAGAGGGAAAAAAAGTTGCATGAAATATTAGCCAAATATAAAATTCCTGTAAGGAAAAACCTGAGAGCAATAAAAGAAAGAGATTTCACAGCAGCATCTGTATTGACATACTTGTTTAAAGCTTAAATATTCATTCTTTGGTAGTACCTTAAGAAATGCCACAGATTTTAATTTTGCTGCTCAAAGAATATAGTGAGATTCCATTATATAGTTTGAGACTGGTAAATTTGAACTTACAGCACTTGAAATGGGCCTCCTCTTGGGCTACAAAACTTAAAGGCTTGGAAGCATCTGTAAAATTGACTGCCGAGTAAATTTTTGGTGAGTTATTGTACTCAAGAATACCTGAATGGCTGTCACAATCAATATAAGCAGGACTGAACAGGTACAACAGTTATACAGCACTGTGTACCACATCACACAAGTGATGCTGAGCTGCCTCCAGCAGCTGTCCAGCCTCAGCCCTGGTGTCTCCTCATTGCTCCTGGCCTGTAAAAATGTACTGTTTGTGTAATTCCCTGTTTCATAGTCCACACAAGAATGCTTGAGAGCAGCCAGATGAGCAAGGGCTCAAATCTGGTGATCACTTTCATCTATGCAAAACAGGAAACTGTTTTGTTCATTTGAACTGGGCTCATTTGAAGAGCATTGTCAAGAAAAAATTTGCTATAGCCAGGGGCAGATTTAAGATGGGAGGAAGTATTGGTTTTTTTCATACTTTAAGTTTGGAAGAGTTTCTGATATCTAAACAGAAGATAGCTTAGACCTATAGTTCCATGTTTAAAAAGCTGTCCTTAACAGCTATGTTAGGGAACATCCACCTTTTAGTTAGTTCCATTATCTTTCTTGACTACATTTCTCTATGAATTCTCTATGAATGTAAATCAATATTAGTGAATTATATAAAAATTCCTCCCTAAAAAACAGTGAGCTTATAGAAAGATGCTGAATATGGGATCAATGCAACAGCAGAAATTTTCTTTTTAAGCTGTACTTTTAAGTTATTTTACAGAGGCACTGAAGCCTGAAACCCTGTACAGACTGCACGATGTTGAGCCCACAAAAAAAGGCAATCCTTATTCTAAGGAAGATTAAGCAAAAAGTTATGTTTTATAAGATGATGACACCTAATGTAAAGACCAAGAAATTTCTTTCAGCAGAACTATGGTGTGGTTTGTCTGTACAGAGGTAAATTCTTTCTTCCCTCATGCAGCACAGGCAGAAATATGGCACTTCCCATCTAGCAGAAACTTCAAAATTAATTCACAATTCATTCAAAGTACTCCAGAACTGAAGGAGAAAAAGCCACTGGGAAGGCAGAGAAAAAGGCAAAGTTCAGGTCTTGTGGGTCCATTCTCTGCTCTGGTCATCTGAGTGAAGAAATCAACTGTGTTAACAAGGACAGAAACACTGTAGTCTTGAAAGTTCCTTCAACACCAAATGGATTGTATTACATCATTTGAACTTAAATCAATCATTTCAGAAATGTAAGATTTTATTCCCCTATGACATTGAGGAACAAAAACATTTGAGGGTTTTTGACTGATGTTGCCTGTGCTTTATTTAAAATACTAAGCTCTAACAGTGTACAATCTCATCTACTGGAAATCTGTATTTCCAGTTCTACTGCAAAGAAATCTGAACAGTCATTCACTCTTGGGGTTGTTGAAATAAAAAAATCTTCTCTCCTAAAATTCCAGCGAAGTAACAGTCACAAAACATCTGTAATATTTCCAAATCTTTGCAAAATAAATTTGTGGCCCTAAACCTCGTGGGCCGCAGTCAGTCACCACAGACAGCCTCCTGCACAGCACTTGCCACAGAGGGGTAGGTCCTTTTCATTTGTGCCTGAAGAGCTGTCAGCAGAGTTCTGACTCAC